CTATTTCTGAAAGTATTTCCTTCTCTCTTATTTTTGAGTTTGGAAAGATCATTGCATTCTGACAGTTAATTTTCTAGAACAGTAGTTGTCATAACTTTTTCAAATGAACTATACCATAGTACTCTTGAGAATAAAAATATGAATTGTATATGGGTAATTGTCAAAGAATTCATTTTCTGTAATTGATATAATTTCTGTATTGGTTATACAAACACTCTTATTTATACTCAGATATAGTTTTTAACTTGTTGTTGCTGGCCTTATTCTATAGTAAGAATTACTTTCTGATATCATCCCCAACATGAATGTATAAAGATATCTGTGAATGTATTTCACTATCACGACAATACATCATCTTATAAATTACTTATATCCCTATGGATCTTATTAACAATAAAATTATTACGTTAACATTAGGATAAGTTCTATTACATGAAAGTATTTGCAGACGCGTAACAATCGATAATATATTTTGTAAAATCTTGTATTAAACATCAATAAACAAAACAGCAACCATTAGATAATTATTTTATCAATCTTTTTTTTTCTACAAGGATAAGACAAAACAGAAAGAACCTATTCGTTTTTATGAATCTATGATTATATTTCTGCTGTATTTATCCAGTTTTTGAATTGTTTTGAAGAACACTTTTAAAGTGGTATGATGGGGAATATTTGATTTTTCTTTTATGTTTTTTTGACAATACTTTCTTAATAATATTCTTGCATTTGGTTTAATCATCATGAAAGTTTGGGAAATGTCATATCAATCCTTCGTATATTTATAGTTCTTGAGGTCTTGAATATGTTAATTTATGCTGTTTTGGCTGTATTGTTGTTAAAACACAAGTTTTTTGAGAATCAAAAGTATTAGGGTGTTGTTTATATTCTGTTTATATCTATTTAGCTAGTATTAATTCCTCACGTTTTGTAAATAGTATTGAAGCAAGATATCCGATTTCATGAATACCTTAATATACAATCTTGTGATGAGAAGATCGACCCAAAACATTACAAAAACTTATAAATATCTACAGTTGTAATTATATATAAATAAAGAGTTGTTACAAGTTCTCCAGAGAAGTGATCTTTATTTATATTTCAAACCACAGTGCTAAGAGACCTGTTTTAATAAATAAACAACAATAATAATATTTGTTGATTGTCTAACTTACAAATATGGAAAAATTATGCTAGGCTCTAAAGGTTCATTATGAGTACTTATTTATTAAGTTGTAACTATTTAATCCTCGCGTGTGATGTTCTGAAACATGATGAGATAAGAGAAATGATGTTGTCAATAATACAAATTAGAATGTGTGAGTTTTTGTAGTCGATTATCAAATAATCCACGTAGGAAATTTTATATCAAAGCTCACTTAAAGAGGTCTTTGATCCAGTTTGATAGATTGTAGGGATAATTATCAACATTGGATTATGATATAGTTGAGTCCAATATAATATAATTAGACAATATATCGTATGTTCACAAGATCTTTTTTGTTAAAAACTGATTTTGGTAGATCGTTGGTAATTTTTTTGAAAGAAGTAAAGTTGTGAAAGATCAATATGTATTTAATAATAAATACAATATATACTATTTGCATGGGTTTTCAATAAACGAGAAATCCAATTTACTAAATACTTAAAACATAACAACGTTAGACTTTAAGTCTACTATAGTTCAGGAGATACCATATTAGCATCCCTGAGACTCTAATCCCAAATGTTAAATCTACAAAACTATATTTCCATAAACAATTAAGATTATTTAAATTAAATATCATTTTAAATATTTTCATAGGATAAATGCTTGATCATAAACAGTAGAAAGATGGTATAGTGTTTAACATAAATCTATTTATCAAAGTCTTCTTTGAAATGAAAAACGTAAGCAGATTTTTCAAATTTGTGGCTTTCACTGCATATAGAACATGTAGATTATTTTTGAATCGATCTTGTTTTCTGGAAAATAATTTTGTATTATTAGGCACAGAATATTTCTCATAATTCTCTAAAAACTGTCCAATATATCTTTTCCCATGAGTAGAGCAAAAATTATTTCCCATGTCAAATGATTATATGAACAATTTATACTTAATCCACCAACTATACCAAGGTAAGCAAAACAATGAGCTCTTTCTAAAAAGTTTCGGAAACATATATATCACTTCTCTTTCTTTAAATTACAAAATATGAGTGAACCACAATTTTCGAAAGAATAAAAATAACAACGATAGAGTTATTTATTTCGTGATAAATAAGTCAATAAATTTAGACCATTTTCTTTTCATGTGTAGGATGTAGAAAAGATGTAAACAACGTAAACTTAATACACTGGATTAATCTGATTCATCAATGGTCACTCTGTCGCATCTTATATTTACACTTACATTTCTAGGTTTATTATCGTGATATCATCTAGTAAATTTTATTGCTCTTTTACATCTATAACATACAATGTTATTCACAGTATCTGTCATCATGATATTAGCATGTATCTTTACTATGGATTTATACATAGTAGACTAAGTTCATATCAACCACTATTACTTTCAATTATGTTTTTATTCTTAAACTGCTTACTTCATTTAGACATTAATAACTGGTAGATTGTATGGTATCACTCTTAAACTATGAACTTCTCATTAATATACAACTTCTCTTGATATTATGTCTTAGACAAGGACGATACCACACAAACATATCACACTTAATTACTCTTAGCATCAGCTATCACTATTTCTTCATTATCCACCAAACTCATTTCATTCAAATTTCAATTGTCAATTTTCCTTGTTTCAAAATTTGAAAAAATAGTTCGAAAAAAAAAATTAATTACAATAATAACCACTCTCATCGACAACCAAGTATATAAGTAACCAACTTCACTTATAAATAGCCAGTTATTATCTGCCTTCTTTACATATTCATATGATATAATATTGAATATTATCAAACAGTTATTTGACATGACATAGTTACACCACTGTATGTCTAATAATCATTTATATTTGACTATCAGAAATAACCTCATAACGACTTACTCCATGCATAGACTGTGACTATGGAAGATATTTATTGACAAACTATGACCATTTTTTGTGTCACTACCACTTTTATTATGAATATAACTATTAAAGTATACTCCAATAACACATGAACACCATCCCTTACTAATATTTTCAATATGAAAAATATAATTATATCTTCTATATCACTTCATTATCCATCGAATGATACTGTTATAATAATTTATGATCATATGCAATACTCTTTTGAAATTAACACATAATGATAACTGTTATAAACATAAATACAATTATGCTATATCCATAAACAAATTTACTATATCATCTTTTTACTCATATCTTACAGGATATTTATCCTCACTAATTCCAATCTATTACACATGGATTTGATTTATGGTTGATTTTCAATGCTTATGGTAATAATGATAAAAGACAAATTGATTTGATATAATGAACAATATTTTGATTATATCTTTATTCTATTCTACTGTACTACTTTCCCTGTTCAATAATTTTTGTTGTGTCTTTTATTCAGATGATCTTATTTTAATGTTTGAAAAATAACGTAATAAAAAGAGATTTTATCTCGATCTTTGAACATTGAACAACATTTAAGAATATACTATGGTGGAGTATTAACATGTTAATCTTTCAATTTACTATTCAGAAAATCTACTTTTTTTAAGAATTAGTCTGACATTATTATGACTGGATGTCTAATACTGTATATGGATCTCTAACTGCAACAAAGAATGATGAGAAGTTATTGAAATTCAAAAAAAAAATAATAAGAGTTTGATTCCATTATAACATTAAAATAACAAGGCATACTATATCTATGAATTAATATTTGTAAAAATACGAATGTGTTATGATAGTTTTACAGGTTCCTTATTTAAAAAGAAAATTTCCACATTATCGAAATCTTAGGATAATTGTTATTACGATATTTTTCAAGTGTAGAGGGGAAATTTTCTTGTCTCTTTTGAAACTTTGAAATCTCTACATCCAGCAAAATACAAGAAGAGATGCCATATATTTATAGAACAAAGGGTATCTATATTACAATATAATGCATATCTGAATTATTTGTGTATAATGCTCTTAACATACATAGTAATTACAATATATCATCAGTGTGCAATTATGGGTATTTGAAAAATATCTTGACACCTCATTTTCTTACACTTTTTTTGTGTTAATCAAAAAAACTTTCATTGCTTTGAATATTGTCGGAGTAATTTTATGGTATCTTTCTACTATTCGTGTGAGAATAATAGTTTTTCAATACTTTATTTCATTTAGGGTCAAATATGATGTTACAAAAATAAAAGAGGTGGAAGTGGAATCATTAGTCAAAAATGAAAGTAATAAGAGTTAGCATATTTATGTAAATGTACATATATATATGTAGTTAATTGACTTAAGGGGCAATAGTGTTATCAAATTAGCATATATATATATATATATTATTTATTTTCATCCCCGTGTGTACGTATATATATGGGAAAGAGAGGAAATAATAAGGGAATATAGAAAGAAAAAGATTTAAGACATTCTTGCTTCGCATTTAATGATCACTCATCTAGTCAAGTTCTCGAATACTAACATAGGTAGAGAAATATTATAATAGTTTTTAAGATATGTGTCAATCCTTTTATTATGATCTCTGAATTAAACTAGCATTAAATCTTCATAATTACAATTTTTCTTGATTAAAAGGGGTTTAAAATACGTATATTTCTGAAATATGATCAGTTGATTTCAAAGTTATATGATGGTAAGTTCGCTAATCAAGATTTATTGATTAAGCATAGCCAAAGTATTTAACAAAACTGGAAAACAAGAGTCAAAGGAAAAAATATACAATACATATAATATTAGGGTATTATATATGTTTAGATAGTAGTATTTAATTATTTAACTATTTAGAATTCTTTCTTTTAGAATTCTTTACCTGCATTCGATTTAAATAATCATAAATAATAATAGACCAACAAAATGGGCAACGCTCCATTTCATGTATATGGTGCTACCCTTACCCTTATATGATGCAAGAGAAGGTACACTTACATGAGAGGCTGTCATAGCAGTTGGAGATGACGAGAATTGCTCAGAAATGAATTGGGAAACTTGTGGCATTTTTGTAGTTAGAGATGTTTCTGGTCTTCTGGATTCAACAGTACTGACAACAGTACTAGTTTCCGAAGTAACGTCTATGTTACCCCTTGTAGATCCAACAACAACAACAGTGGTAGATTCTCTGGAGTTTCTAGATGTTAGTTGATTTTCATTGTTGGTAAACACTGTGCCAGTGGTGGTAAAAGCAATAGAAGTAACTGGAGTTGCATTGGACACAACAGAAAATGAGTTGGTCTCTTCTTGTTGGTTCTTTGAATTAGTATAAATAGGTTCAATAAAACCATATCCGATGAGAGCAGTCATACTTGTTTTAGAAGTTGCAGATGGTTCAGGACAATAAGTTGTAATCATAGTGACTCCATTAACAACTTTAGTCAAAGCAACCAAAGTACTACTCAAAGTATATACAGCCTTTCCACCGTGATTAGTGGAGTTTCCATATATTGCAGTCTCGACAACAATAACACCAATGGCCTCGGTATTGCCGTTAGAGTCAGTGGTGTAAGAGATGTAGGAGGAAAGGGCAGAAGCTGAACCTACCATGTCAGCACTGTATGCAGTGACAGTGCTTTGAACTGGAGTGGCAACAACAACAATGCCAACTGGACTGCTGCTACCATTGGAGTTGGTGGTGTAGGATGTAATTGTGGATTGAGTAGCATCAGAAGCAACTATACCTGGGATATAGGAGGTGATTTGACTAACAGCTGGAGTTTCAACAACAATAACACCAATGGCTTTGGTACTACCATTGGAGTCGGTGGTGTAGGAGATGTAGGATGATAGAGTAGAAGCTGAACCAGTCATTACAGAGGTGTATGCTGTAACAGTGCTTTGAACTGGAGTGGCAACAACAACAATGCCAACTGGACTGCTGCTACCATTGGAGTTGGTGGTGTAGGATGTAATTGTGGATTGAGTAGCATCAGAAGCAACTATACCTGGGATATAGGAGGTGATTTGACTAACAGCTGGAGTTTCAACAACAATAACACCAATGGCTTTGGTACTACCATTGGAGTCGGTGGTGTAGGAGATGTAGGATGATAGAGTAGAAGCTGAACCAGTCATTACAGAGGTGTATGCTGTAACAGTGCTTTGAACTGGAGTGGCAACAACAACAATGTTAACTTTGCTGCTGCCATCGTTGGCGTCAGCAGTGTAAGATATAATTGTGGACTGAGCAGAAGCAGAGCCTATGATGCTTGGGATATAGGAGGTAATTTGACTAACAGCTGGAGTTTCAACAACAATAACACCAATGGCCTCGGTACTGCCGTTAGAGTCGGTGGTGTAAGAGATGTAGGAGGAAAGGGCAGAAGCTGAACCTACCATGTCAGCACTGTATGCAGTGACAGTGCTTTGAACTGGAGTGGCAACAACAACAATGCCAACTGGACTGCTGCTACCATTGGAGTTGGTGGTGTAGGATGTAATTGTGGATTGAGTAGCATCAGAAGCAACTATACCTGGGATATAGGAGGTGATTTGACTAACAGCTGGAGTTTCAACAACAATAACACCAATGGCTTTGGTACTACCATTGGAGTCGGTGGTGTAGGAGATGTAGGATGATAGAGTAGAAGCTGAACCAGTCATTACAGAGGTGTATGCTGTAACAGTGCTTTGAACTGGAGTGGCAACAACAACAATGCCAACTGGACTGCTGCTACCATTGGAGTTGGTGGTGTAGGATGTAATTGTGGATTGAGTAGCATCAGAAGCAACTATACCTGGGATATAGGAGGTGATTTGACTAACAGCTGGAGTTTCAACAACAATAACACCAACTGCACTACTGCTGCCATTTGAGTCAGTGATGTAGGAGATGTATGAAGAAAGAACAGAAGCTGAACCTACCATGCCAGCACTGTATGCTGTGACAGTGCTTTGAACTGGAGTAGCAAGAACAACAATGTCAACTGGACTGCTATTACCGTTGGAGTCTGTGGTGTAGGAGGTAGAGGTGAATTGGGCTGCATCAGAAGCAACTATACCTGGGATGTGGGAGGTAATAGCACTTGGTTTTAGTGATGGTGAAGAAGTAGTAAAACTGGAAGAGCCAAAAGTAGATGGTATAGAACTGGTGGAATAACTAGAAGAGACACTTGAATATGTGGATAAAGAAGAAGAACTGGGTGAAGTGGAATTAATAATAGGTATCCAAGGAGATGAATCACATGGCATACAGGCACTAGGAAAACCATTTGGAGCAGTTCCATTGTAGACTAATGCGTTATTGATAAAATTAAAACCAATGTGGTTATTTATAGATTTCATTGAAAATCCATGTGGGTTATAACCAGTACCAATATTAATTTTATGAATAGTGGCCACGTTAACCGTCAAGATACCAGTATCTGGATCATAACTATGGCCTACTATAGAAGTACGAAATGTCAAATAATTACCATTACCAAAACCTCTGACATAGACATTATTTGAGTTACCATATGAGCCTACATAAAACATTGAGGAAGGAGAGGTCATATATATAGTTTGTGGGCCGATTGTACCAGAGGTTAACTGTATCGGTACACCATATACAGAATTTTCACCTATTGTAATGCAACCGTCACCTGCTATAGAACTCTCCAAAGATGCTTTAATATTCTTCAAACAAATAGTACCAATATTAACAAAAGATCCGGATTTAAGATGGACAACACTACTATAATCTGAAGTAGGATCCTGACCAAAAGACATTAAACCAGTATTTGTTAAAGCCACGCTTGGGTTTATTGTGAAACTATTAGAATTGCTATCCAAACCATTGAAATATATTTTTCCATGATTAGTAATGAAAGAGCCACTCCATGATACAGTCATTGAACTAGCTGTAATGTTTCTACTATCAACTACAATTAAACCATCGTTTGTAAGAGTTGAACCATCGAATGTAGTGCTAAATCCGTTGCCATATGAATCAGTATCACCAATGAAAAGTGAACCTTTCACAAGCAAGTCTTTGGTGAAACTATAAGAGTTTCCGCTCACTAACGCCAAAAAATAACCTTCATCAACAGTAAGGGGGACAGAGAAAGAAATATCGCCTAAATAAGTGTTATCAGAGATTGTTACAGCATCCACAAAGATGAGTAAAAACATCAAAAGTACCAAAATACCTTTAAAAGAACTCATCATTTTTATTTGCTTTGGTCAATTGTTACTGTTATTTTTATGAAAGTGTAGTAACATGTATAATTATCATAATCTAATGGGGAAAACAAATCGATGGGAAGTTAGTTACCAAAACGTTGGTACATACACGTATTTATATTAATTTTTTTCATTAAGAAAATTAAATAAGTTGTTTATAAGGTAGCATTCATGATTGCATAATATCTATTTGTCATTTTACTTTTAGTTTATCCTTGAGAATAATGAACAATAAATTGAATAAGAATATTTTCATTAATATTAATATTATCATTATTTTTGATATGATCTGAGATATTGCCTATTATAGGAAATGATTGGATTCGTTTACTACCTTGCATATTTAGTATGTTACAGTGAAATGGCATTATAACTAAAAGTGACTATATCAATAACAATTATTTATCTGCAATCAGATATTGGTTTTTTTGAACTACATAATACTTCCTACAAAGAGGTAAATATCATGTTTGCTTGATAAAAAAAGAGTTGTTTACTGATCTGATGAAGATATTTTGTTTCTGTAGAATAGTAGATAATTTCATTGATTTTTGCAAAGTAAATATAAAATATTATGCTTGTAACAATAGCATGAATGAAAAAAAATATATTGATTTTTCTTTTTTTTGTGATCTCAGATAGAAACACGGTTTTTTTTTTCTTTTTTTTTCGTTTTTTTTTGAAAAAAAAAACGAAAACAATAGGTTCAATAGATGTAATTAAAAGGAGGAGCAGCAAAAAACATCAGAAACCATTGTTGAAAAAAATTATTTACCTTCTATGTACACAATGATATTTCCCTCTAAGGTGATATTAAGGTTTTTTTATTTTCAAATTGGCGTTCACTTAGTGTAAAAGATTGGTTTATTCATTTGTGTCTTATTTTAGTAGGTCTGCCAAGATCCTTGGGTAAAAATTATGGTAAACACTATCATTGTAAATTAAGACAAAGTAGGGCTTACAAAAATCATCTAAAGTGTTTTCCTCTGTTTTTTCTTGAAATATAAACATTTAGAATCTTTTCTTTGTTGTGGAGCATCACAACATATACAAGTATAAATGTATCTTACCTGGAAATTCTAGTTATTATTTCCAATAGTAGTAGATAGATATGCAGTGTACATTTTTTCTTTTGCTTTTATGTGTTATGATCAAGAGTAAAAAATATACATAAAACTTACATACCTTACTATTAGCTTGTTCATTATGAACTAGTTGTTCACTTTATACACAATAAAATGGTATTTTTATCTGGCAATTTTATTGAAATAGGGTGTTCTAATTTCATTTATTTGGATTTTGCTATACAGATGGTGCACATTTCATAATTGATAGGGTTTTAAAGTTTTATTTCCCTTTTTTTATACATTGTGGCAAGGACAAGGTGTTTTTTTTACCAGAAATGAAATAATAGAAAGTGGAATTTTTCACATCACTTTTCACATCTAGAATAAAAATATTGAATATTGTCCATGGCTTCTCATATCTTGTATATAACCAATATTGTTTCATAAAATTTTATTTAAAATTAAGATCTAGAAAGCTTTATTGTTAACTTTTTTAAGAAAAATATTGATTAATAACATAGGGCCATACTTGTTCACTAATAATTATACGAATAATAATAGTGTTAAATATTTTATACATATTTCTGAATTTTTTTTTTTTGCATATACATATTATCGGAAAATAACATGCAAATATTACAATCCTGCAGAGATGTTAGATTCAATAGCTTCCATTTAAAAAAGAATAAGGTGCGGAAATAAATATTGCTTTTTTTTGTTTTGTTTTCTTCACCTGAAAAGGTTTTTCTGACCTCTTTTTTGAAATGTTGTTAAAGAGAAAACGTACTCAACAACACAGAATAACTAAAAAAAAGTTTAATAGTTTTGTAAAACGATAATAGGTTGCGCTAGCGCGGAAGAATGCCATAAAATTAACCAATATGTAAAAAAGTAAAGAGACTAGCCTTAATATTGCAACATGGAAATTTCTCGTTTATTTGTTTGGATATTTTTCTAAAATATTATTAAAATACCAGATGAAAATATGTAATTGTAATAAAATAGCAAGGGAACGATTTTAACCTTAAAGTTCTAATCAGGGAAAACGTATGTTTCAAGGAGACAAGAGCACATAATGCAGGAAACACATAAAATAGTGCCACTGTCAAAAAATATTTGAATTTCGGTTTTGGTGTATATTAAAAGCTTAATAAAAAGTTTTAGAGAGATAGGAAAACTTTATTCTTGTATGGCTATTCTTTTCTATTTTTTTTTTGCATAATACTGTATTGTTTCCAAAATAACGTGATCACTCTCCTCAGTTTTCTTGTGTCAACGAGAGTCTAGAAGTTTCTTTGAACTATATTTGGTAAATCAAAGTTCTGTTAGCTGTGTCTAAGTGCAAGATGTATTGTTATTTTAAACTAGCGATTTTGATCTTTTCCTGAAAATTATCCATAGAATTACCAAATGTGGAAGTATTATTTTGGTCAGAGTATAGTTAGATTGCGATATTTTCACTAGAAACTTACGTCTACGACTAATTAGTATTGCACGAGTTTGTATAGAAATAAAAGAAAAAGAAAAGAGAAATAAAAGAAAAATAAAAGAAATAAAAGAAAAATAAAAGAAAAAGAAAAGAGAAAGAAAAGAAAAAGAAAAGAAAAAAAAAATAAAGCAGATTTTTCATAGTGAAAAAAAAATTACTATGGAGCTATTGTTTCATGCAGAAAATAAAAAAAAAATTGTGTTAAAAAACTAAGTTTACAAAAAAGTATGGAAAATTGGGAAATCACCAAAAGATTTTAAGATTCACTAAAAAGGAACTGTTCAAATATCTAAACAAAAACAAACTAGCATTATTCCGCTATATTGCAATCAATATATTGTTATGCATGCAATAGCTTGTATAACAATGGTTGTGTCAAAAAAAATTAGCATACAATTGTATTTTTTTTCATTATTTTCCTGTTAGAGCATGGACAGTATGTTTGTTAAGTTTCAGTATTAAACACTGTTTTATTATGTTGTCAATAATGATAACTAAAAGAGAAAAAAAATTTTCAAGAAGAAAAAATTTTAAGAGTATCAAAAAGAAAAAGGATCAATTTGTATTCATGTATAAACATACTAAATAACTATGTATATTACTTTTATAGATTTTTAATAAATCGGAGATCCAATTAACTAATAAGTTAACTCATATTAGTATTAAATACAGCTATCACAATTCTCCAAAATTTCCTGTCTTATTTTTAATATCGGATCTAGTTAGAGTAGTTAATTGGTCATCTAAAGAGTTGACTATTTTTGTTAAATGTACCTATTGTTTCATTTTGACATAGTTTACCCACTATTAATAATTTCACTAGAATGGCATCTTACCTATTTAGGAAATGGATCATTAGCCAAAAGGAGAAAACTTTATGTTCTGTACAATCCAGTATTGCGGAGACATTTAAAACAAAATCAAAATGAAAAAAATGCTATGAAAAAAATTTTCTGAAAGTAAAGAATATGTATGTTAAAACTTAAAAGGTGTGGATTAATAACCTATATGTTATAATAGAACATTGTTGACGATATATTTTATAAGTAATCGCTCACTGTATTAAATAATACAAATAGTATATACGAGATATACTACGTATTTTGTAAATAGAGTTATAAGTAAAAAAACTATTTCTAATTTCTATATCTTGATTATTCATAATTTTCATTGAGTCTAGGTAATAGATCAACAATACAAATAGACAATTTTATTCATTATTTTTCTAATCTAGATGAATACTATCTACACATTGTATTTTTATGTTTCTTTTATATTTGTATAATTGTTTATTTCCAGAGAGGACAGAGAGGGAAAAATACTTTATATAATCTTATAATAATAATAATAATTTAAAATACTACTCATAAATTATGAGCACTTATGCTGAAGTTATGTATACTAATATTCTTTATCCAGAGGAAACCTATCAGTATAATTTGATAGAGTTATCATAAAATTCATATTTTTGGAAGCATAGAAGAATATGCTGCATTTTTATCATTTGATAGAATTGAACTTGGCTAAGTTAATTGCTTCGATCTGCCATCTAATAAATCATTATTTTCAATAACATCACTGAATTTGGAAACCACAATTTGTCGATTTTAAAGTATTACTGTCTTTGTCACCAAAACTCTTAGTTATTTTAAGGATGCTTGAAAAATATGATACTCAGAAATGATTCATTTTTAATTGGCTCAATATTTGGATATTGGACATATTTGTGCATCAATAATAAAATGGTGGCTATAATATCATAAACTATTTTATTTTTTTGTATATATTAAATGTAATTTACTTTATTGTTACCATATAGTAATTCGATAAAAGGTACCCACTATGTAGTGAAGTGTTTTGTATTAAATTGTCTTGTTTTTTATTATCTTAAAAACTAAAAAATGTGATCTTTGTTAACTTATTTTCGTTGATGTATGTTGTGGTAAATACTAGTGTTTTTTTTATAGAAATTTCTTTGGTACTGAAGTAGATATTGAATAGAATAAGAAGTTAAGAAAAGTTTTGAGATTTAGTTTTTTTTTAGATGAATTTTAATTATTTATAGAGGTCGATCCTGGAAATATTTCTATATCTTAGGCATGTTCTAAAAAGAATAAAAACAAGATTCCCTGATTTTGGATTTTATCAAAAAAAAAGCAATGAGAATATATTAAAGAAGATATTACTTTTTGATACTTGTTAAATTTTTTATTGTTCAAAAAAGATGTAATGAGCATAGTGTTGTGTTGAGAATCTCCTCTGGATGAATAATATTAGTATACATGTTCTTAGCGTCGGTGATCATACAACATGTTATGATTGTGTATTATTATTATTATATTGATATGTAGTGTAATTTTCCCTCAATCTTTTGATTCGGAATTAATAATTATATAAATATAAAAGAAACATATGATAAAGTGTATATA